AGCTTCTGCCTGGCCACCACCACTGCTGCTTAGCATGGGCGGGCGAGTCCAGAGCCGGTGTGGGGCATGCCAGGGTTGGGGCTGTACACAAGTCCCAGCCAGTGCCACAGGGCTGGGGCTAGCGGCGGCAGCAGCCAGAAGGAGCCACTGCTACCTGGGCTGCTTACAAAGGCAGTCCAGTTGCAGAGCTCTCAGCTCTGCTGCATGCCCAGTTGGTGGCAGAATGGTGCCTGGGCCAAGTGGGACTGAGGGATCCACCAGAGGCCAGAAAATGTCCCTCGACGGGCCATATTTTGCCCACCCCTGCTGTAACTCCTCCCTTTGACAGTCTGACCAGTATTACATAACGATCAAATGAATGTGTGTTTATCAGCTGAGACATAACTTTTATGCTTTTCTAAAAGTCTACCCCCATGTCCAGCTTAATGGCTGCCTAATGTGATAATGTGTCCTGATGATAATGTACATAGACCTACCTTCTTCAGACATCCACAGTGGATGTATATATGCTCATCTCATTGCAGTGAACTCCCACTCTGAAAAGTGAAGCTTCTTTAAGCCTACCACATTTCTTCTCGTCCCTAGGCAGTTTTCTCTCCTAGTAGTGGCGACTTAAGCTTTGTGGCTTATCTTGAGTCACTCTACCTTTCCAAATTTATTTTTTCCTTACAAGCCCCTATTAAAGCTAAAATGCTGTGTAAAAAGCAAAAATCCCAAATAACACCATCAATACCACTCAAAATATTATAAGTCAGTAGACTGATCCATTTATGTTGACTGAAAGCAAGCATGCATATCTCCCTGTTTTGCCAAGGAATGTTAACAAGTCTAGTCACATTCTGTATGTCACTTGTTGTCACTCCTAGCGAGACAGCGATGATGATGACTATGATGATGACCGAAGCAGTGACAGGGAGGATGGACCATTGGAAGAGCAAATAGAACGCTTGCAGGAAAAAGTGGAGTCTGCTCAGAGTGAGCAAAAGAATCTCTTCCTTGTTATATTCCAGGTAATGGTGTGATGGATTTCCTCCTCTAATAGCTTGCAGGTTTTGAGGTAGCTTAAGTGCATACTACCGCTTTGCAGTGTCAGTCCTATTGCAGGCATTTAGGAGAGGGGGAGGAAGCCGGGGATGGGGCGTGGAGGAGGGATAGATAAGTTCACTATGGAAGTTACTAATACTGTTCTAACACTCCTGCAAACAACTTAACAGATTCTCTTAGACAAGACTTGCCTAGCTTAAGGCAAAAGAGTCCTTGTTTGTTTGGGAAACTTGTCTGAATGAAGGTAATATGTTTTATGAGACTAATACAAAGGTAATGAATACCATCCAATGGGTTATCTTGCGTTTGCGTGAAGTGTTAATATTTGTCCGATGTAACTTTCTTTTGCTTGACAAGACATGCTTGAACCAGTATTTCATTAATATTGTTCTTTTTTTGTAGCGTTTCATTATGTTGTTAACTGAGCATTTGGTGCGATGCGAAACTGGTGGGATTGATGTAGTCACGCCCTGGTACAAGAGCTGTATAGAGAGGCTGCAGCAGATCTTCTTGCAGGTTGGTTTTGGTAAATCATTTAGAGAAGTCCTAGATGGCCACTAGAAAAAGCTGTGGGTGATTTCTCAGAACTGATTGCATTCTCCCAGCCCTGTCAGCCTTCTTGAATTAAAACACATTAAGGGGTCTGGTGGTTAACTTGGAAGGTTGGAGGTATATCCCCTAGTCCTAGTCCTGTGACATTTGGCCAGTAGTTCCCAAACTCATCCACTTATCACCTTGGGCTCTTTGTGGAAGATGTTAGCAGGATTTCTGGCTGCAGGCACTCAGTGTCAAAAATAAAAATAAATAAGTAAATAATATAAGACGTAATATTTATTTGTCAGTTTTAGAACAAATTAACCAATAAATTCTAGCTTTTCCTTTTTAACTGGAGTGTATATGCTGTTACAACTAGTTAATACTGATTGTTTTTGTGACTGCCAACCAGTGAGGACTGGGCCATGTCTACACTTAGCTGCTCCTGCCACCAGATATTCTGGTAGCAGATAGCAACCATAAAAGGAAAAATGACCAAAGCACATGCACAACTTCTGCCAGCTTTGCACAGCTCCTACCAGAACTGTGTGGTGCCAGTTTACTAGCTGTGCTGGCAGGGTATGAAGTGCAGCCTGGCTAGGCACGGTTGTTAAAGGAACTGTGGCAGGTGGCAGAAAGCATGGGTGTCTGTATCTGCCTTCTGTTCGGTACTGGATGGTAGACGACTTCGGTCAGTGAGACCTGATGTTACTCTCCTGGCAGAAAAGAGGGGTTCTACTGCCACAAAAGAGCCAAGTGTATGGATTCACTGATGATTTTCCTGGCAGAACCCGAGTTCTCCTGGCAAAACTAAGTGGTGTAGATCTGGGCTGTCAAATTCATCTGGCGCCATGAGCTGGATGAAGGTTGCTGGACTGGGACTGATCCCCTGTGCAGCTGCAGGACTGGTCTGGCAGGGTCCTGCATGCAATGCACACCTGTGCCAGCCCCCTCTACCATATGCAGCACCAGATCCAGTCTGTGTCCGACAGGCTGCACACTTCCAGTGCCAGCCTGTAATGCTGTGTGCACAACCTCAGAGCTGGCATGTGCTGCATGCGGCTTGCAGGGTTGGGCTGGTCACACATTGCATACAGTGCCCCCACCAAATCAGCTTCATGCTCTGCCTCCAGCACACCCTAATCTGGACCAGAACCAGCATGCAAGGCTGGTTCAGTGGAGTGCTATATACAGTGCATGCCCCAGACTGATGTCCTGTACCACAGCACCAGGGTGGGGCTGGGGCTGGCCTGTAGGGTCAGTCCAGAGACCTACAGGCTGGGTCATACAGCTCCATGAGCCAGATCTGGGCCATAGGCAGTGTGTATGTTACTTCTGGTGTAGATTAAGCATGAATCACTGTTACAGCCCTAGCTTTACCCTGTCTCATTCTGTTGCTGTATTCTCACAGGGTGAGAATATACATAATGACTCTCAACAGAAGGATGGTTGGCTGAAGTAGCTGTTAGGTACTTTAACAAAGCTTGCAGACAAGTGCATGGGTTTGAACAAATATTCCAATACAGTCAGCATATGTATTATAACAGGGATCAGTAAGCCCTAGAACACATGCCCGAGCATGGTACACAAAGCCGTTTTCCTTGGCATGCCACCACAGCCAGCCTGGGCTCTGGACAGCTGCCACCAGCCACGGAGCTCAGGCTGCTTGCAGCAGGAGGCTGCAAGCCCTGCTACATGCAGCCTGGGCTCCATGGCAGGTAGAAGCTGCCCAGAGTCCAGGCTGGCTGCAGCTGGGAGGCTGCAAACCACTGCATAGGGTTCTGCAGCTCTGGCACCAGCTCCAGAGGTAAAGGGGCAAGGGCAGCATAGCATGTCCGTCCGTCCGTCCGTCGTCCCCACCCCCCCGCTTTCCCCCTGGAGGCACACATGCAGCCACCACCAGCAATGAGGATCAGGCCCCTTGTGGCTCCCCGGCCTCTGGCACACCAAGCCAAGACATGGGTGGAGGTTGGGATGCTTGTGGCACTATGACCAAAAATGTTTCTGACCCCTGTATTATAACTTGATTGTAAAGGCACTTTGAGATCCTTTTAAGGCATTGTTCTCAACCAAGGTGCCACAGCACTCTGGGGTGCTGTAAGATTCTTTTTAAGGGTGCTACGCAATATTACCTCTGTTAGGTGTGCACATACCTACACATCACTCATAAGATTAACTCGGAGACTTCAGCAGAAATCCATAATATCAAAAACATTCTGGCTTGTTGAGGTCATTCTGAGTTCTTTATGACAAAATTTATTCTGTTATTTTTCCATAGTTAAAGAAATATGTGAAAGCTAAGAGCTAGCACTTTCTAGCTTGAGTTGGGGAGCCTTGAGTTGAACACAGTTGACAACCACTGCTGTACTCTTGTGTACAGGGGTAAAGAAACAAAAAACAATAGTTGTAAAACCCTGTATTGTTGATGGCTACAATCATGAGAGAAGATGTTTAAGATTCTTGTCAATTGATACTTAGACCCCTATTAAAGTGGGTACCTCTGAACTTGAGATTTTAAATCTGCTAACTAAGGTTAAGAAGGTTAAAATTAAATGTAGGTGATTGGCTGAGACTGACAGACCTGGACACTGGGAATATTCTTGGTATGAAAACCAACAGAGGGTGTTGTAGAGGTTTTCGTATGTAATGCTTTATATGGATTAGTCTTATCCATGTTCAAGAAAAGTTTTCCATGAAAACAAACTCCTCTGGCTTTTCTGGTGTATCTTGGAAGCTCTTGCATATGGGGAGTACTGTACTTGGTAAAGCTAGGTATATAACAAATGCAGCTCCTGTGTTCTGTAACTGCTGTGGGTTGCACATAATTTTAGCCAAAATGTTTAATCCTTGTATATAAGAAATCTGTGTTCTTTTCTCTGAATGGTTTTTATATATAAAGACCAATGAGTATAACGAAAGTCTCCTGTCTTTCTGCAGCATCACCAGATTATTCAGCAGTACATGGTGACCCTGGAGAACCTTCTGTTTACAGCTGAACTGGACCATCACATATTGGCTGTATTTCAGCAATTCTGTGCTTTGCAAGCTTGAAATATTTTCACAATGCAGAGTCTTAGCTGGTGGACTTAAATTGATTTAATATTTTTTAAAAATGGGAACATGACTTGGGAAAGAGAGAACCTTTTTATTTCAAGATGGTTTAACATGCTCTCCTATATAACTGATACCATACTATAACAAATGGCAACTATTTTAGCATCCTAGGCCTTATTAGTTATGGTTGGTAGGGAATTGGTGTGGAATAATGTATGAACTTTTTTAATTTTGTCGTTTTTAATTTTGGTTTGTTGACTCCATTATAGTATTTGTGTTTTGTTTTTTTTTCTCCCATTTATATAAAAAAAAGCCAAAAAATTATAGATTTGGTTACCTCTGCCTGACCTGTCAAGCAAAGTTAATTCCCTAATTACAGTAATGTGAAAACAGATGATAGGATGTTTTAGTGAATGTAACAAATGCAAGTTTTCAGTGAGCAATTTGATAAATTCTCAGTAGTCAGACAGAAATTATCTTAACTTTGGATATCCTAACTTTGGGCATGTGAAATGCAGTCAAGCTTACAGAGTGGTCTAGAGCTTATGGATCTAGATTACCAAAACGATAGCTTTTCGTGGTTTGAAAGAACCTGATTGAAATACAATTGAAATATGTTTTTTAAACTTTGTCTGGTGTCTTATTGCAGTAGCTGAAACGTTTGTGCCGTTTATAGAACTAACTGCAAAGGATTTTGTAATAAACTTAGGAAAATATTGTATTCGATCGATGACTTGTGAAAAACAGTCCTCAGGCCTCAACAGTAAGTTGAAACAATAATTATAAGCTCTTGATGCCACTTCAGCTTGGTAAATTGTACTGCAGATACTTATTTTTCAAAGAGGAAGTATTAACACAAGAGGTTCATCAGCTGAAATGTTTTCTAAATTTAGGCAGTTTCTGCTTCAGTATTTCAGGCAGTGCATAGTCCTTGTCAACCCAACTACTCTTCCAATGGCAATATTCTGGCCAGCTGAATATGAACTTGCCTTAAAACTACAGATAGCTGGTGATACTGTACTTTTCCTTTCTCAATAGAAGGTAATATATGGGAAATTCACCACAGGGGGATGCTTAATAGGCCTGTGAGAAGCAGAAAGTATTCACTTTGGATTCACCGATTTGGAAGGACAGTGATTCAAATCACTGTCCCAATTCAATTTGGCCAAATCTGAAGGTATTCGGCACCAAATCTTATTTGGCCATAGGATATACAGGCAGGCAGTGCCGGCGGGAGCAGCCAAACAAGCCCCTGGTTGAGCTGGCAGCCCCAGGAGAAGCTGCAGCTTGTCAGGCTGCTTCCCCGGCTGCCCCCTGACCGGGGCAGAGCAGGCAGTGCTGCCATGGAGGCTGGGAGAAATGATTGGGGAGCTGAGGAATCAAGCTGGGAGCGGGGGAAACAAACAGGGGTTTCCCCCAAGCTCCCCGATCATTTCCCCTAGCCCCTGCAGCTTCTCCTGGGGCTGCCAGCTCAAGGCGCAGCTCATTTGGCTGCTCATCTGGCTGCCCCCCTACCAGAGCGAGGCAGGCAATGCTGGCAACCCCAGGAGAAGCCATGGAGGCTGGCGGGAATGATTTGGGAGCTGGGGGATCAAACCAGGAGCTATGGAATCAAACTGGGAGCTGGGGGAAGCCCCTGATCGTTCCCCCACCTCCTAATCATTCCCCCCAGCCCCCACAGCTTCTCCCAGAGCTGCCGGCATTGCCTGCTTTGCCCTGGTGGGGGGGCAGCCGGGCAAGGCTCGGCTTCTCTCAGGGCTACCAACTCAAGCTGGGGCTCATCCAGCTGCTCCCGCTGGCACTGCCTAGTGCCTTCCTGTACAGAGACTTCAGATTCAGAGATTTGGCCACTGAATCAGGCCAAATCTCCTTTAAATTGAATTGGCTACCAAAGCTTCACACAGCCCTAACATTTAACCTCCAACACTCCCCCTTTTGCTGGGTAATAGCCACAAGAAAAAAAACATTTTCAAAGAAATGTGGAGAAAGGGTGATCTCGGAGACCTGAAAAGCAAATCTGAAATCCCAAAGCAAGGACCTGGATAGCGCTTTGAGGAATTTCAGAACTACAGGAATCCTCAACTGGAGGATGGTGAGCCAAGGCAGCAGTTAGGTGGACTTTGACCAAGCTTATGGACAAGTGCATGTATTTAAGTAGATATTCCAGTATAGTCAAAATGAGGGAAGTTCTATTGAAGAGGTTTCTCTCATGGCACTGTATTGAGAATCTGGACCTTTTATCCAGATAGATGCATCTAGTTGAATTCATTCTGCTGTGAATGGGGATGTCTTGCACTGGCAGGATGTTCTCCAGAAGCTATCTAGCCCCCAGGCTGTGAGGTGCAGAGTGTGCAGATCTGGATGAAGCAATTTCTGTCCTGTGTCAGAAGGTCCAGGACCACAGGCAGAGCCCTGGAGTCCCTCATTGATATAAGAATTCATCACTGATGTCAAAATTATCTCAGCCAGGAGACCAGCAAGAACATGATAATTGCATCCTGTCATTCCTTGTGGAGCACCCATACAATGAAAAGTATGGGAGGGAAAGCATGCTGGACTCCTGACCATGGAATAGGGCAGGCACTGCATTGGGAGCCCAGAGAAGTGACGTTCCTGTTGTCATCTGATATAAACAGTTGGATTCCGGACAGCCTCAGTGCAGTCTCAGCTGGAGAACTGGGACGTAGGGACATGAATCTTCAGCAGCAACCCAGGCATCTTCTGTGGTGTGCTAGACCTGGAAGGTATATTGTTAACAGGTGTATTTGGTGGCAAAAGCCGCTTGCCATCAGCAAACCACTGCATAAAGAGGAGGACTGTGTGCTGTCCTGTTTGTTGATTATAAAATATCACTGTAGTGCAGGTGTCCTCAACTCTTGGCTATAGACCAGATCCAGCCTCCAGAGCCATGCCATCTGGCCCGTGGAGCTCCTCACAGATACGGAAGTGTAATGGGGCAGACCAGTGGCAATTAACACTGCCTCCATTTTGGTGCCAAATTGCCAAGCCGCACATGGCTGAATGGGACCCACAAACAGGATCCAGTGCTGCACAGCTGGTTGGGGCCCAGGCTGGACCAGACTCAGCCCTGTGCAGCTGGATGAGGTAAATGGACTGCATCTGTCCCCCAAACCAACCTAGCACCATTCCTCCAGTCTGCATTTTTCCATTCTGAGAGAAGGATCTCCAAGGATGGAAATTCCACCACCTCCCTGGGTAACCTGTTCCAGTGTTTTACTACCCTCCTAGTGAGAGAGTTTTCCCTACTATCTAACCTAAACTGCTGGCTGCAACTTGAGATCATTTATTTTTGTTCTGTCATCTGCCACCACTGAGGACAGCAGCTCCATCCTCTTTGGAACCCCCTTCAGGTAGTTGAAGGTTGCTCTCAGCCTTCTCTTTTCCAGGCTAAAGCCCAGCTCCCTCGGCCTCTCCTCCGAAGTCATGTGCTCTAGCACCCTAACTTCACTTGATATGCTGTCAACAAACACACCTACTAACGCAGCCCAGTATGTCATTAGCCTTCTCAACAAAGGCATGCTTTTGGCTAATGTTTAGTGTATTGTCCACAGGTCTTTTTCTGCAGAGCTGCTGCTTAGACAGTTGTTCCCCAGCCCATACTAGTGCATGAGATTTGTTCTGACCTAAGTGCAGGACTTTGCACTTGTCCTTATTGAACCTCGTGATTTCTTTTGGTCCAATCCTCCAATTTCTCTAGGTCTCTGAATCCTCACCCTACCCTCCAGCATATCTATTACTCCCTCCAGCTTGGTGTGACCTGCAAACTTCCTGAAGGCGTGCTTTATCCCATCGTCCAGGTCTTTGATGAAGATATTGAACAAAACCAGCCCCAGAACCAACCCCTGGGGCATCCCACTTGATACTGGCTGCCAACTAGACATCAAACCAGTGATTTACTACCCTTTAAGCCCAATGATCCAGCCAGTTTTCTATCCGCTTTCCAGTCCCTTTATCAAACACGTACTTCCTTAGCTTGCTTCCAAGAATATTGTGGGAGACTGTATCAAAAGCCTTGCTGAAGTCAATGTATACAACATCCACTGCTCTCCCTGCATCTGTCTCAGCATAGCAGGCAAATTGCTTAGGTTAGTCAAGCATGATTTGCCCTTGGTAAATTCATGCTGACTTTTCCTAGTCACCTTCTCCAAGTGCTTGAAAAAGGATTCCTTGTGGACCTGCTCCATGACTTTTCCAGGGACTGAGTTGAAGCTAAAAGTTTCCCCAGATCTTCCTTTTCTTAAAGATGGACACTATATTTGCCCTTTTTCAGTCATTTGGGACCTCTCCTGATTGCCACAAGTTTTCAAAGATCATGGCCAGCAGTTTTGCAATCACATCAGTAAACTCCCTCAGCACCCTTGGGTACATTGTGTCTGGCTGCATGGAACTTGTACACATCCAGCTTTTCTGAATAGTCCCTAACCTGTTCTTTCACCACTCTTGCTTTCTCACCTCCTCCCCAAACTGTGCTGCCACGTGCGATAGACTGGGAGCTGACCTTGCCTGTGAAGGCTGAGGTAAAAAAAAAGCATAGAGTACTTCAGCCTTTTCCATGTCATCTGTCACTAGGTTGTCTCCCCCATTCAATAAGGGACTCACACTTTCCCTAATTTTCCTCTTGTTGCTGACATACTTGTAGAAACCCTTCTTACCCATCACATCTTTTGCTAACTGTAGCTCCACTTGCATGTTGGCCTTCTTGATTTCATCCCTGCATGCCTGCGAAATACTCTCATACTCCTCCCTAGTTGTCTGTCCAAACTGCCACTTCTTGTAAGCTTCCTTTTCGTGTTTTAGCTCACTGAAGAGTTCCCTGCTAAGCCAAGCTGATCTTCTGCCATACTTGCTAGCTTTCCCATGCATCAGGATGGTTTGTTCCTGTACCCTCAGTAAGGCTTCTTTAAAATACAACCAGCTCTCCTGGGCTCCTTTCCCCCTAAGGCTAACCTCCCAGGGGATCCTGCCCATCGTTTTCGTGAGTGAGTCAAAGTCTGCCTTTCTCAAGTCCAGGGTCCTTACTCTGCTGCTCTCCATCCTTCCTTCCTTTTCCTCAGGATCCTGAACTCTTGTGGTCACTGCTGCTCAAGTTGCCATCCACTTACATTCCCCACTGAGTCTTCCCTGTTTGTTAGCAGCAGATCGAAAAGAGCACAGCCCCTAGTTGGCTTCTCCAACACTTGCACCAGGAAGCTTTCCCCAGCACTTCCCAGAAACATCCTGGATTGCCTGTGCACTGCTGCATTGCCCTCCCAGCAGATGTCAAGGTGATTGAAGGCCCTCACCTGGAGGACTTCTCTGACAGAAGAGAAGTTCCTAATTCCCTCATGCATTTTGTTCCTCCTTACTGTGCGGCATAAAGGTTTGGAGTTGTTCTGATGATGTTTTCCAAACTTTTGCCTGTGGCCCAGTGTAGTATTGAAGAACCATAGATCATCAAAACTTGAAAAGTTTTTATCTTCTGTCAGAGACACAGAACGCAAGTTTGGTGTTAAAAAAAATCAGCATTTTTGTATTTACAAACATTTTGAATTTTCATGGCCTGAGACAGTCTTGTGTTTTGCGATTCCTTCAATCTTTGGTAATTTCCAAAATGAGGTAATTCAATATGCTCTGAACCCCATTAACCTAAACATTAATTCCAAAAAAGTGTTACCACTTGTTGATTTTTAAATATCTGTGTTTAACACGTGAAACAATTTT